TAGAATAGACAGAATCACATTTTATACCACTTTACAAACGCCAAATATTTACTTATTGTCATTTCAGGATGTTTGGAAAATGTAATTTGTTTACCTTTTGTAAAGGGCCAATACTATTATAAAGTTTCCATGCTTTAGGCAGTGACAGATTACAGGGTAAAGCAAGCTTTCTACTGTTTAATGTGTTGGTTCATGGGGTTAATTTGAGACTGAATCAATATCAGATCAGTTTCAGTTTGCTTTTAAAAACTGAGGTAAAACAGGAATAAAAACAAGTACACATAAAAATAGCCTGATCGGGTAGCATTGAAATACTTGCATTAAAGATAAAAATAATTTTTGATATTGATTTGTGTAACGATACTGGCAATTAAAAACAGTTTTCATTATTTAGTCATAAATGCATGGTAAAATACAGATTTTGTACAGGTACAGTTGGGCGTATTACTTTTCAATTTAGTTTAGTATACGCCTAATTGTATTTATAGTAAAATGTTTAGTAAAATTCAGGAGACATTATTATTCAAAAAAGGTGGTAAACATTTGTTGTAGGTCGAAAGAGAATTATTAAGGCTAGTACCTTTCAGATCCAAACGATTCCGATTTTTCGAACATAAGAGAAAAGATAATTCTCAGATTGCACTAACAAATTTCACGTTACACCAATATAGCGAACTAATAAAGGCGAAATATCTCACTAAATTGTATAAAACTGAGGACAAAAAGAACATATTTATTCAGAAAAGAAACAATTTCAAAAACAAAATTAATCGGTTTCCAACCACAGTATGCAAATTCGGAGGGCAAAACCCAATATTCAGTTTTTTTATAATATGTATATATAAAATATATATATAAAAGTCCCAAAAAGAGACCAATTTAGGTCTCCCTAGAAATGTTAAATATTAACGTTCATGAAAGTGAAGGAAGATTAATGCCCGGTTTTTCGAAAATTCATGTTTTGTTTTACATTTAGGTACCATTATGTTATTGTGTAATTCTAGTTAATAAAGCAAATTAGGCAAAAAACATTGCAAAATCATAACTGTTGCAGATTGAACAAGATTTAACTCTAAGCTGAAAGATTGATTGTCCAAGAAAATTCAGGAAAGTTTGCTTGAATGACAATTGAAATTCGATTATTTTTAGATCAGTAATTAGATCTATTCTAAATTTAATGTATTTACTTAAATGTATGGAATATAATGCTTAAAATAAAACAGTAACAGACAAATGGTTATACAGACTTGACTTGGCTTGACTTCCGGAATGGAATTTCCACATTTCCGTATTATAAATGCATAAAGTGCTTTCGCTACAGGAACATGATTTTCAAGCTTCGGTTGAACAAAACATATAATCGCTTAAGTATATAATTTAGTACAATGTAAGCATTCAATAGTTTTTGAAATATTTCAAAATAGTTGTCTTTGTCTACGGCAATGTTAAATTAAAATATTCTGCACCGTCTATTGTCGTAACTAAAGATGTTATTTTAATCGTGTTTGCGCTTACTTTATGCTTTGCACTGGAAAATGCGAAATAGCATCGTATATTAAGACAATTGAAGTGCAGACAAACGTCCATTAGGTTGATTTACTGTAGAGCTCTTTAATAAAAAGGTTATACGTTTCATGTATAAATAATAATCGTGCTTTGTATTATTAATGACTGAAACGAACTGTTTAGACTATTTCTTAAAAGGCTATTATAGTTAATGAAATGAAGCTTTTTCTCAAGCGCCTGCAAACATTATATCAGATGCAATATATGGTTGGTAAACAAAAGAAAGTGACCAAATCCATCAAAAATTATTTTGACAATTTTCTTGAAATTATAAAATAAAATATTTTACATCTGGTGGGTTTATAATAATAGTTTATACATTTTCATAGTTGTTAATTTATTCCCGATAAAAATATTGAATTTACCGTATGTAGGCATTACAAACTAAAAACTGTAAATTTTCCGACTTCGTCCCTTCTCTTGTACACTCACAATTTATAGCTTTTGAATCATTTATGTTAATTATGAGAAAATGAAATGTAAGTTTTTTTTTTCACTAAGACTTACACTACATTATTTTTAAGGGCTGCAAAACATAAAAAAATTATATATCTATATAATTCACTTCAATAACAAATGTTAAACCTCATCTACAAAAGAGCAAATACGAATCGTAATTTGATAATTCCATGATAACATGTGAAACACTTTGGGTTGTAGAAAAAATACCGAATTTTCGCCATGTGAAAAGGCACAACTTTCATAAAAGACTGATCTTAATTGCTATTGGAAATAAATGGCTGTGTTATGGCCAGATGGTTTGCTCGACCAAAACAATCAATAAATTAGATTTAATTAGACTTAGCAACAACACCTATAATCCGTCTATACATTTTCAATGTGGTTTATTATTGGTTGTTAATTGGATCCAAATATTACGGCGTCGGATATTTCCATTCCTAACGTTTTTCAGATTTAATTCCCCATGCTCATTTTATGTTGTGGCTTCCATAGCCGTTTTTATGGCTGGGAGCCCCGAACCCGACACAGATTTGAGTCCCATTGATGATACGGTTCATCCTGAATTCTTGTGTCTATTAAATAGGCTTCCGTATCGGATCCCACTCGTATTATTAATTAGGATAATGCACTTTGTTTAACGATTGAATTTCTAAGAGCGGTTTTCTTGCAGTGTGTCTCCCGCATTTAATAGCTGCTTAATTTAAGGCTATTTTCTTTCGCATTGCTTAGAACTATTAAACTTTGTGGTTTTACCTACGACAATTTTCCACTGATAATTATTCCTATTTAAATGTAAAATTTACAGAGATTCAGAGTCATTTTGCTCTTAGGCAACGTAATTTAAAAAAAAAAATTGCAGCCCCTATTGTCTAAAATTGAGATATTGTTTTAACCGTAAACTTCTAAATAAATTAAGTTTTGCGATTTAAAATGCGAAACAGCATTGTATATTAAGACAATGGAAGTGTAAACACACTATTTCATCTGATTTCAGTGATTTACTGCGGAGCTCTTAAATAAGAAAGATATATAGTTTCATGTAAAAATAATAATTTTGATTTATACAAATAGCGAGTGAGACAAAACGGAGAACCAGCAGGGTTTTTCTCAAGTAACTGAAACCACAGCTGGTTTATGATAAAAAGAAGAAAATAACCCAAGATTTAACCCAAAACTTTTTGAAAACATTGTCATTCCTATTTTAATAAATAATGGAATAAATGGAAAGTGTGAACGCTCAATACTTTTCGTTAGGTTGAATTGAATGAGTTAAATTGGTTTACAAATTTAACATATTCAGCAACATTATAACATATATGCTTCAAGACAGATTTTTATTTATTACCGTTATATGTAATGTTAAAAGAAACTGAATTTCTTTAAGAGATGACATGTTGAAGCACTTATCATGATAAAAGGTGCATAAGCAATAACCGAAAGAAAAGGAAAGCAAAAGTCTGAAAAATAATTCCAGGAATTAGGGATATATCATTGAAGTCACCAGCAAACATATTTAATATATGTGTAATTTAAGTACCTATACACATTTAACCAGCATCAAAATAAGTATCAAAGCTCAGCGGATGCATAAATTATTAAAAGGTACCTTTCACTTAAAACTCCAATTTATACATACATTTATAATACAGAAACGACTGTAGATAAATGTTCTTCAAAAATATATTAAACTAAGTAATTAACGAAGCAAACTATTCTTAAAGAAATGTTAAATTTACTTATTACATTACTAAAAAACGAAAGGTAGTCTCAAAATTTAAATTATGCTATTTAGGTTTGCATTTTGTTAAAAATTGTTCTATTACTAATTTAGTTTAAATTCCAAAAATATATTTAGCAACCGAACTGTTGTATATTAAGCAAAAAAATATATAAAAAGAGACTCATACTATTTGAATATTCTACAAAGAAACGACTTATATTGCGAGTTACAGAACAATTATTAAAAAGTCAACATAATTGAGAAAATCAACTGGTTCTTCCAGGATAGTCTGAAAAAACCGTATAACTAGTGAAATACGCATTAAAATGAATTACATGAGAGCTGACAAGTCAATTTTCTGAAACTTTGCATTACTGTGTAATCGACTTTCTTAAATTTAGTTGGTTGCTGTTAAATATTCTGAAAGCAGAATTCGGTAGCTGAAAAATGCCAATGAGTAAACTGGAAAAAAAGTTATTGCGAGTACTAATTGCATTGTAGATGTTTAAAAGACCTTGCAGGAAGGTGACAGAATAATGGTTTTCGAGCTTCACTTAGTCAAAAACTATTTTCGTTTTTTCAGTTACAAATAATAGATTATGTACAATTTATCGGCTTATAATTTCAATCTAACACAACTCTAACTCGAACACCGAATTATCCGCAGTATAAAATACCTGAAATTTCCTAAAATTCTTTATACAACTTTGATACCAAATAATCCGCCAACATCGACTTTGTATATTTCATACTTTACAGTGGAAAACTCAGAGTAGAATCGTAAATTAACGCAATGGAGGTGCCAACAGATTATTTCATCAAGCTGATTTACTGTAGAGTGGCTGGTCAATTCATTTAAAAGTATCAGGTTCAGCTGGTTCTTTCTCATTTATAGTCGCAAAACGTACTAAATTGAGATTTAACTCCTGTTGTGTATATTGTATTGCTGATTATATAAGTATTACTGGAATTGGAGTTTTATCTGGCATAAAATTTGATTGCAATTTTAATTCTACATGTGGCGTTTTAGGCTGAACTACACACAGAAAGTAGCAACTAGCCAACATTTTTCAGAGTATTGAAAAAGCTGTTCAAGGAATTTGCAGGGTAAACAAGTCGAAATTTACGTACAGCAAATAAGTCGATTTTGCTTGGTATCGCTCAAATTAAGTCTGAATAAATTATCAGCTTGTGTATATGAAGCAACAATTGTCCTGTAATGTTCGCTAAACGAGTCAATCTTTCCTCTCACCAGTATCGATGAAACTGGAAATGCCTCCAACTATTACAGAATACCACACAACTTCCGAATAAAATAGTTTCTAGATATATCGAGAAAATTGTTCAAAAGGAAAACCGGATAATACTCGAAAGTCCTGAAAAGCGATAAAATTCAGAATATTCCGCACGTCGACGTACAACTGTTCAACCAAAGACTGAAGATGCAACAGCGTCCAGCGTGCTGTTGAATCGAACGCGCAGGAGCTCCACGAGCTGCTGCCGACGCTGAGCACCTAGAAGCATAGCTTTTTCATATACATATTAATTATTTTATGCCTGGATTTTTAAACAATTTTTTCAACCGGTCAAATAGCAGTGCTGATTATTAACGAACGGGGAGTTTTGGAAACAGCAATTGCCGTTATATCGTATCTTTTAAAGAACACGAAACGCATTGGTAAAAAATATGCGAGCTTACAAAATGAGAAAAACAACATTATTTGGAAACGCGATTGAATGGTATTGAGAACATCTTTCTCTTCCAAGTCAGTTTAATTTTACTATATTCAATTCAGCGCCAAAGAGTTAATTAGAAGTAATTCTGTTTGGGTACAATAGCAGCGCCCTTAGTTATTTCTTTTGAACTTTGAATAGAGCACAAAGCATTTTTTCTCAATAATTGCTTAGATATTTTTGTAGTTCAACCTGGAAACCTTTAAGTTTTTTCCAAGAGAGCTTTCTACTTGAAGCCAAGAGAGTTACAAATGCTCTTAGAATTTTTTTTAAATTGGCGTTTGTTACAGAAAAATGGCTTTTGAAAAAATGTTTGAAATCGGATTTTAACTTTGTTATTACTTTGAAATAATTTGCGTTTCGTTAAAAATTGGTTGTAAACTTAAACATTTTATTTTTTAAAGTGCTGTTTGAACAATGCTCATTTCACTATTTGTATTTTGCAATTTGTTTAATTGTGCTCTTTGAACTCTCAAAGTAAACTATAAACTATAAGAGACAATAGAATCGCATCCTTGGAGAAGCAGCGCATGGTCGTCCAGTTTTTCTCTAAAGAGAAGCTTTAGATATTTGGGAGGCGTGGCACGATTTCTCGTCTTAAACTTTCACTTTCTGCACAAAACCACTCCATGTCTATTGTTTACTGTTTGACTTTAACTGTTGTTGTTAACTTTGAACTTTTAACTCTGATGCAACGCGTTTTATTTTTCGCTCTTCGTCATACTTTTCTAAAATGAACTCCCTAAGAACAATCGCTATTTGTCACAGAACTGATGCAGATAGTCAAAAAACGTAAGAGCTAACTTCTATTAAGAGTTGCATTATACTTTCATAGACTGTTTGCTTTTTTACATTGATATCTCGCTTTTATTTTAAAACCATGCTATTCAAAAGCCATGATTACCAGTTTTTAATTCTAATGGCCCATAATTAGAGCAAATAGTATACGAAATATGGTTAGAATATCTTGCAGGGTATATAAATAAAAAAATAAGAGCCGTACAATTTGAAACGAAACCGTTTTGCCCTTATGTTGATTTTAATTTTTTCTCATAAAATCAGACCAGGAATCAATATTATTATTATTATCATATTATCAATAAACTTACTTTGCTTGCCTTTTTTAAAATTTACCAGGGTGCGCTAACAAAACAAAAAACGTAAACGTAAAAACAAAACAACGATGTTTTCTCGGGTTTACAATTAAACAATCAAAATGCAGTCCGTTAACTCCCTGATAGTGAAAAAATTTTCAATTTCAACCAACTAGTGGTTAGTCTCCTGTTTGCAAAATATTTTGTATATCCGGAATAACAGCTTTGCTTTGATATTAATAAATTTAAATAATTGTTTAGTTGTTTAAGCAAAAAAAATAATTGAACATGGCTTTTGAATCTACGAAACTACCCTCAAGGTGGTTAAAAAATTAATTTAGAAAAAATATACTATATCGGATCTCGTCCAAAATGTCAATAAAGTAATTTGCTCGCAATCCACTTTTCTGTTCCGGGGATTTTAAAAGGCACTGTCGCATCGTGTTCAGAAAGCTTAATGGGCAATTCTATCAGAAACGTGGAACAAAATTAATAAATACGTAGTACGTATAAGACAGGTGTAATAAACTTACATTGTTGATGTTTTTATGGGTAACGGACTAAAAAGTAGTAAATTAAAATCCAAATTCATCCTCAGTACCAAACAAAAACAACGACAACTTTGTTTCAGGATTTTTAAAGTTATTTTTAAAAGATGTTAAACGATAAATAGACAATCTACCAGTCGGTCCAGAACTTAGAAATATTGTTTCTTCCCTATTTTTCAGTTAGTAAAGATTTGTCTAACCTTCCTTATAGCTCAATCTTCCCCGTTAGTAATCATATGTTTAAAAAATTTAAGGGTATATTTTGCACAATATAATATAGAATAAAATACTCATAAAAACAGTGTCATTAACGAAACCGACCTTTTGGCTTCATACATTTAAGAATGAACAAATCAGTTTCAGCAATTTCTAGCAAATTGAGCCCAATATTAACATTCTGTTATTTCAAAACTTGCGTCTTTATACTTTATTATTTCGATAACCATTTTACATCAACGTGTGTTTGATTAGGAAAAATAGAAATATCTAAGATAAGGATAGAACGCATATGTTGCGTATTTATTTGTTGTTGGAAGTGACCACAACAATAAAACATTTAAATACCATTTTTTAGGAACTGGTCTGACCAATAGAATGTTTTGGCTTTCAAAGCAACGTTAAAAAAACTAAAAATACGATGTCAACTTTTTATATCTACAACTTTTTTTGGAAATAAAGAATTATCCAATCGATTTGTAGATCATTAATGCACCTCATAATACAACCATAATAATATTAAATCTTTTTCTAAGCCCCTCAATGACCGAACAAATATTTTCTTAAGCTTATTTTTATTTTGTTTTCCTTGGAATAAATGTCAGATTCAATGATACATCACATAAGCTGTATTTCCTTTCACCTCAAAGCAATTTCTATGGAAAGCTTTAAAAGCTATACATATAGCTCAGTTCAAAGCTTTGAGGGTGAAGATTTGAATTTCAAATTTCAAATCTTAACTCATTCAAATTATTCATGTTTAAACATCGAGGTTTTATTTTCCATCTGATATATATGTATAAACAACAAGAAATATACAAGAGATAAAAAAGGTTTTTTTGGAAACGCCTAAATTAATTAAAAATTGAGCAGTAGATTGGTATGATCTTGTTCAAAATCAGCAACGTTTTAAATTAGCGAATGATGGTTTTAATCAATAACGACCACTTTAAGCGAAACGTTTTAAGCCAAAATCTGCATTTAATGGCGAAGCATTATTAAATTTTCGTTTCCTGCAGTTCGGACAGAATTTTCGCGTTTAAAGTAACTGTTCGATTACTGTAATCAATTCAGTCAGATTACAGCAATTGTATAACAAAGCGACTTATAGTGCCAATGGATCGTTTAATAAACTTTCGCAAAAAGCGCTGCTTTCTATTCAAGAAAAAACGTGCGGGCAAGTAGATACTTCTGGACTCATTAGAAATATCAAATGATTTGCGAAAGATAATCTTGCAGAGGTGAAGATGTTACAATTAAAGAGTCAATACGAATAATTTCTGGGCATTATTACTTAATATCTATTAGGATGAAGTCTTGTAAACGATATTTGAAGAATTATTAGAAATTATAGATTTCACGATGACTAAACAAGATACATGATACAATTATCAATTTTTTTAATTAAAAATGGATGTATCGGTTACAATCAGTGGTGTTAAAACAAACCATTTTATTATTTTGCCATTTTATTAAGTACGCTCTAATTTAAATTTCCTTTCATTCAGTCAGTCGGAAGTAAAACAAAAATTAATCAAGCACCAATAAAAATTGAAATAAATATTTTCTTTCTTTGGTGGCGTTTACTGTTAGTATCTACAAGTTTCAATTTTTCTTGCAAGAAAAAGCTTGTTCTAACTAACTTGAGAACTTCATGTTTTATGAAACTTTCAATCAAACGGTCATTTTTGTCAGATAGTTTACTTAACAATTGCAGTATGCAAAAACTTTCCTTCAGATCTTAAACGGCCTTGCGGCTTTCGTTTTGTATTGCAATCAAGTAATTTTCCCTAAATTTATGGCGTGATCGGATTATTTTTTCATTGTTAAATAAATAATTTAAAATTTCCTTATTTTTTACCTACTTTTTTGCAGCCAATATTTCAAATCTTCGGATATCGGACCAACTCTAGCGTGTAGAAAATTTCTTGCCTATAAAAATTTGTTATGTAGTTAAACGACAAAGGTGTTCAGTTAATAATAAATTTATACTGGAAATGAAAAGCGCATATAAATATTTTGATTCGGAAACCGAAATCATTCGGAAAACGTATGCAAATTCGGAAAAAAAATTCAAATTTTGTTGAACAGGCTGAATTTGTTTTTCGCGAGTGGGTTGAGGTTGAAAATCGAAAAGTTGCTGATATTTTTTTTTAATTACCAGAAAAAATAGTTGTACAATGTGAACAACTGGAACAAGTCACAAAAATTTAGTTTTGGTAGATCAGAATCACGACTCCAAAGATAAAAAAATTTGCAGGAAAATCCAAACTCTCTCTGCGTTGCTATTATGAATTTTACCTAAGATTATGGAGCATTCAAAGTTACCTCAGAAGTTTCAAAAAGGTGGTACAGTGTCAAACGATTGTCAAATTTATATAAAAATTATGAGCGCTAAAATAAAATAGTAAAATTTACAAAGTTTTTTCATTTATATTTTTAAAGTGCTCAAGCCCTAAAACATATAAATTTTACAATTGATCATGGAGCAATTAGAAGAAATAAACGACGAAAATGACTGCGATTTGGACAGTTCGAAAGGATATTACACCAGAGCTAAACGAAGGAAAATGTCAGAAGATTGCCAATATAACGAGGACAATTCAACTCATGGCTTGTATAGGATTCCCGAAGTGGGCAAAAGGAAAAATCCAATCATGTTCGTTCCCACCGAAGTGTTGCTAAATGTTTTCAAATTCATACCCTACCATGAATTGAGTAAGTAGGAGAATTCATAGAGAAAATTAAGTTTTCAAGCAAATTCTCACCTAAGCTTTTTAGGTTCAGTGGTTCGGTTAGTCAACAAAAGGTTTAAAGCAGTCGCCGAAGATATGCTTAATTTAGGCTTTAGGCGGACGCAAAAGCAGCTCGATAATCTGATTACTACCACCGACATTTCTTTAGGGTACACCCCAGATGACATGGAAGTCAAAGCAATTTCAAAGTTGATGTGCCAATTAGAAATTATTAATCTACAAGTAAGCAATTGGATGACTAAAACTGCGAAAATTTTAATTTTGTATAATTTGCATTCACAAGTTTTCTATTTCTATTAGAACAGCATTATCACGTCCACCATATGGAGGTACATGTCGAATAAATTCTATAAGACTTGCCAAACATGCATGTATGGGGGCAAGTTAATAGATGTTCAAGAATTGTTTATCCGGAAATTTTTGCATGTTCCAAATGAGTTGTTTGCCCCAGCTGTTGTAAAAGATTACGTAAGAAAGCTGCAATTTTTATGCACACTTCTGAGAGGAATCGTTATTAAAGAATTGATAGCAACAGGGTGCATCAAAAACGTCTATTTCTTGATTTAAAACCGATTTTATTTCGCAGGCTCTGCCCCCTGAAGTAACCACAATTATTCAACTGACTAAAGATTTTTGTATTCATTTCGATAAATGTAATGAAGAAGCCATTCCCAATTCGTGCACTTTGAGTGGGTGCAAAATGCTAGATATTCTGGATTGTGCTAGATTTGCGCAAAAAAGGGTTCATTTTGAAAGACGAACAACGGACTCGTTTCTCGCAAAGGTAAAACAGTATGTTTTAAATTACTTTGAAAGATTAATACGATATTTAATTGGCAGTTAATTTTTTATCCAATCTTTATCATGAAAATTTTTGGGATTGGATTCATTAATTAGCGAAATTTATCATTCTCACTATTCGACGTTTGCTCTATTTATATGAATTTCCTCAGGACATGAAATGATTAATGCATCAACCAAAAAAAATTAGTTGATTCCATCCACCAAATAAAACTTCTTGTGGTTTTTGTACCACGACAGTTAGGAATTCACCACTTGTCCAAAACGGCTGAACTCGATTGTTTCATCAAAATATGAGTATTTAGAATAGAACAAATTAACAGCGAGTTTCACCAAAACACATCGTACCATTCCCCCGATGTTTCAAAAAAGACAATTTTTTTGAAGAACTGTGCCCATTAATAGCAGAGGAGCCAGACATTTTTTGTTAATAAAAGTTAGGTCAGATCGTCTTCTTTTGATCCAAATAATATCGCAGTACCCTTTTGATCATGTGCGTACGGGACACCCTGTATTTTGCAAAAGAACCATTTTCTACACTATTTCCTAACGCATTGTCTTCCTCTGAACTATGTCTCTTATGTTAAAATGTTATTTTTCAGTACAGCTACTATTTCAAAAATTCTTGGTTCATTGCGATTCCGATTCCAACGCGTAAAGAGATGGAGGAGCCCCAACAGCAGCGCATGATGCACATGAGGCTGAGGAGAATTGTTTTAGCTCACAACGACATGTACCTTCAGGTAAAACTAAATTAATATCGCGAAAGACATTCGCTAAACATATTCTGAGAAATTAGCAAGAACAGTATGAAAGAGAACTGATACTAAGACCGAATGCATCATTGACCATTAAGAAACCCGGAAACAACGTATACACAGGATATGGCGATGTAGAGGACACATTCTTTTACTATGGAGTCATGAATGATGGTAAGCAATTGTTTAATATTATTATTTCATCAATTGAATGAATTGACTAATTGACTAATTGAATCTGTTCTTTTACAAAACAATACATATCCTCGAAATATATGCAATGAATTGATAATGAGCACGCTTTCCGTGATAAAGCGAGTGATAAAACGAGTGATCTGCTTCATTCAGAACATATGTACATTTTCTACGCTACTTTCTACGCACGAGAAACTGTTGAATTGCACATTTCGATAGCAGATTTACTACCCTTCAATTTTAAATTGACCAGCTTTAAACAGAAAAGGAATTGAATTAAAAGGCTTTTGTAGCAGAAGACTTCTTTTTGAGTATATTTAATTACATATCCAGGGGTTTCACTTCAACACAATCCACCTTGAGTACCTTTTAAATTTGACGAATTAAACAAATTACAAACAACATGTCGACAACATACGAAGAGTCAACAAGTCTTATATCGCATGTTAAATTTAATTCTTCATAACAGTCAGCCTTATGCCCCCAACCACCATGAGTTTAAAATTTCAAATAGCACCACCGAGAGAGTAAACGTATCTATCCAATGATGCAGGCAAAAGTAAAATTGAATCGTGAATATCTGGTAATTTATTGATTTGATAAAATCGTCCTCCCGTTATTGTTTAGGCATTTTAACATTGACTCGGAAATATGTTTGCATTCATATGGCATTTGATGGTTCGTTTCTTGCATCATTTTCAAATGACTTCATAAAAAGTCTAAAGGAGCCAGATCTAGAGACCTTGCTGGAAATTTTACTGCATCCGTTCTCCTATCCATTTGCCGGGATTTTGCTAATTCTACTAATGTCTAAAGGGTGAACAAACATGAGCTGTAGTTTTATCTGCTTGCTGTTTTTATGTTTTCATATGTTTTTTCTAAATATTATATGGTAAGTGGCTTTATCATATTTTCTGGAAGATGAAGCTGTCCAGTTAAATTCTCAAGCGTATGTTTATCTTCTAAAAAATGTGATACTGCCACTCATCAATAGTAGGACAATTAAATGGATAAAAATCGGACCTTGCTGCTTGGCTGAAAATATGAACCAGGTGAAGTTCTAGCTTATTTTCCTTTACCCATTAGAGAGTAATTGAATTAGCGGTTTTCCGGCAAGTGTTTGAGAAATAGCTAATTTATACCGGTGGAACTTATGTGTTCAACCACAGTTCTTTGTGCTTGGAATCAGAACTAGACAATTTGAACTGCTTACAATCAAAAAATTTAAGAAAATACTGTCCTGTATCCCTAAATAAATACTCCCCAATATCCCGACTTCTTAAATAGGAAAAAACAACGCTCAAATCGCATTTTGTATCATTTAAAAGGAGAAAAGTGCTATTTTATAACGTTTTATGTTTTATGTTTGAAAAATAACTTTTGAATAAATGTTTTGTTAATTAAAAATTGTTGTTATATTGAAGCAGGGATAATGTTTCTTTCACCCGATAGAGCTCAATTCACTCCATCGTTTTCAAATCAATATTAATCACATGTTATTATTGTTATTAAACGTAGGTGCCTATCTGAACAAATTTCATTCAGATGAAGGCAGAAACGAACTAGATGAAGAAGTCGATGAGCTGCCCATCGAAGCGGATCTTGACGTGGTGCGTTTGAACTCAGATGAAGATGTTTTATATCGACTACCTTATTTAGGTAACAACCATTTTATTTCAGGTAATTTAATATTGGTAAAAATAAATGCTTTTACAGGGTTGAAGATTGATGTATCGGTACGATGTCCTTTGTCGTATGCGCCACTAAAGTTTTTACAGTCGTTGTCGTATGAGGATCAGGATCAATTGCAAAAGAAAAGTTGCGTTAAAGGTTAGTAATTATAATGATGACTGATAACTGAAAACGTTATCAAGAAATTTGGACATTGACCATTTAGGTGAAAGCTTCAGACTTATTGTCTGTCTTTCTAATACATATTGATTGAGGACAATAGTTATTTCCGGAATACCAAACCTGAGTGAATAACAAGATCATGTTCAAAGTATTTTATCTTTAATAATTTTTTTAAAATATCCCTGTAAATTATAGTACAGGCACAGTTTTTAGAGTCATAAAACAAAATAATGTCTTAATGTAATCAGTCGCAGCATAAGTACTTAACTTCCTTAACTTAACTCGTTCCTCTGGAGATGTTGTAGGATAGTATTTTTGAAGTAAATAAAAACCAGGAAATTGGGAAAATTAAAGGACAGCAATTTTAAGCAAAGTTAGTTTGAAACGTTATTTAGTGCAATTCTTTTTCGGTTTTTCAGAAAATGTTTAAAGATGATTTTTTTGCAATTGAACCCCACAGCCATTCAGATAGACCTGGTATCTAAAAAAAACAACTACTTTCAGCTGTTGCAACAACTACCTTGAGTTGGCCAGCCTAAGAAATTCGAAATTTTCTGCATGAAATGAGTCAACTGCTTAAACAGAAGAGTTTTTCGTTGTTCGAAAATTCTAAATAAAAGGGATTTGTGCGAATCTTGTCTGCTTCGTAGCTTTGTTGGTAGAGCATCATGCCGGAGTCATAAAGTCGCCGAAAGCAGTACATTTTTCTTAATCCAAAAATTATTTGTTCGTTCAACTGCTTAAATTAGGATATAGTTCCAAAACAAACCAAAAATGACCCAATTTGCACTTGTTGCCGTATGAAACTGTAGCAGCCACAAGTCAAAAAAGAACAAACAATGACGTTCAACATTGAATTTCATGGCTGGAGTGTTCAGTTCTTAAACCCTCTTTTTCAAATTAGTTCACATAATTTCACTTTTAATTTGCTCACTAAGCGACGATTTTGTCGAGTCAAAACAGTTGTGGAGCGTCACTCGGGGTAATCTCTTGGAATGGATTTAATGCGTAAGCTTAGATTAACTTAGCCACTAACTTGTTTTATTTTTTTATGTAATCTTGATGCAATAACCATCAACATAACTAATTATTGTTATTATAGTTTAACACGCTTAAGATAAGCTTTTGTATCTATAGTTTTTAATAAAAAAACACATATTTTTCCAGACTGATGAAATTGAATTTGTCTGGCTTTATATATAGAACTAGTGACTTTGTAAAGTACCCAAACTTTCTCATTAAGGAAAAAACAGGCGCCAAAACTACGTGTTCTCAAATATTGCATTAGATTACATGTGAGGGTAAAAAACTTTCTTTTGATTGGGAATCTTTAAGAGTACAGATGGAGTTTTTTCTACAAAGAAGTGTTTGAAGATTTTGTAACATCAGAACAGTTGAGCTTGGTTTTGATCTTACATATAGACAACATGTTTCTTTCTCCTTTAAAAATGTACATCTGTGAACATGCTTATATCATATTTTTTCGCTAGAAAGTCCATGCCTTTATCTTTAAGTTAAAAAGGTATTCTTGTCAAAAGCCGCTTCGATCAACCGTTTCGAAATATTTTGATTCAAAGTAATCGCACCCTACAAAATATCGGACACTTATTTCCAAACGCCGGGTATAATCTAAGTTACTTAAACATTTAACTTGTAAAATTTATAAAAGTTATTTTATTTATTATTCCATGTACAATTCTAGAGTTATACTGATGTTAGTCACGTTTCTGAAATCAATAGTGACCTCATATACCTCCATGAAATTATCGTTTCTAGATCTTTTCACTTAATTACGAACATACATTCTATATTGTGATTTTATCTTGATAATAGCAGTTAAAAAGTTAACTTTTTGTTTCAGGTGAAACTCAAATACACATGGGTTTTGAGTGTTTTGGAGCTCAGTATGCCAGACTATCCCCCAGGTTCAACTACGAAGTAATCCAGAGGCACAGTTTATAAACTCGCTTTTTTACAGATTTTTATATTGTCCCGTTTTCTATTTATTTTGCACGAGCTATTACGTTTTGAAACATGTTTCACTCATTTGTGTTCCATCTGTGATATTTAATTTTTACATAAATTTTGTCGCATTTTATCAATTAGATCAATAAATTGCCTTTCATATTTAATTGTTTCTTAATCAGTTTTTGAGCGAGAGGCAATACAGAAATAACGCATAATAATGCAGAAATCCCCGTCTAAAATCTGTTCTTTGATCCAAAAGTATGGAATACGGAATTGCGCGAGAATTTCCGCTTATGGATCGATCAGCTAACTTTCCAGAGAAACACGTTGCGCAAACGCAAACCAATCCCAGTTGTGTTTCTGGCCCATTGAGAAGAACAATGTTCCCGGTGCAAAATAGCGAATTTGTATTTTTTTCAAGAAATTATTCGTTTGTCTAAATACGTCGTTCGTTTTATTCAAGTTATGTGCGAACATTACAATTTTTATAAAGATCGAAATCCTCCTGCACGGTGCTTAAATTTCTCATCTTGTTTGAGGATGTAGAAATCCTGTCAGCTGATTTTTTTATTAGCAATTATTTAATTTTGCATATATGGAGTTGATGGTGATATTAGAATAATCGTGCGGTAAGTATTGATTAGGAAATAAAGTTAACAAGTTGAGGTATATAAATAATAAATACCAGAGCAGGTTTAGATGAGAAAATCTCATATTTTAGAAGATTAACAAAGGATGAAATCGTTTTTCGTGGCGAATGTATTTTGTTTGCTGGTTTGTTTGGTACTTTATTTAATTGTGGTGCAATTTTTATTGTATTTGGAGGACAAAGCAAACCGGTATTAGAGAAAGTTTATTTTTATTACAAATATTTTAGTACCTACCTATTAAGTTGATGAAGTAAAACGAAATAAATCCGAACGTTTTCCATTGTTCAGATTAATAGAGTCGTTCATTTTATTGCTGTTATGGTTTTTATAAAAACTTCTGCAATCCGCCTATGGAGAAACGAACATGGAAATTATTGGAACCAATTTATTCACAGCAGTTAAAACTGAACATATTTAGATAATTGCGCCAAGTCTTGTTATAGTATAAGTTATTTTTAATGCGTTTAATTTATCATGAAATAAACTTTCTCTAATCGTGGTAGACATATTTACAGATCTCCAAAAGCTGGTCTTTCACGTAAGAACAGTTAAACAAAATTTTACATCTGGAATCATAATGACTTTACAATAAATTACTTTCGTTTATGTGTTATCTAATATATCCACAAAGATAATTTTACCAAAAATATGCAATATTAAACTTACTATAATTGTGTCTAATTAAATGTAATGATGATTCTTAATGTCAAGAGATAATTTAAAAAAGAAATTTTACTAAAATGAATAAAATTACCTAATTTTTGTTGGTTCTAAAAATTAATTTTCATGAAAATGATAAATTGCGTTTCAGATTGAATTAATTTCAATTCACTTGGAAACCTCGCCTGTGTCTCGATGAGTTTCATAAGATCCTCGTATAATAATGTACTATTTTACATTATACTTATTATACTAAAGGGTACTAATTAAGTAAATGAAAAAAACGGGTTAACGAGAAAACAAAAAGTGTTTCACAGATTCAAATTTATATAAAAGAAGTTAAACTTCTGAATCTAAACTCATCAAATATCTCATCAAAGCGGCTTATTGGTATGTATGAACCCATTTTTTATAAAACAGACACCCGGTAATATAATTTTGCACCTTAGAGGTCATTAACCAGTGCGTTAATGAAGTAAGCAAATATCAACAATAAGCTAAGCGAACAACGAACCGTAGGAGTTTCAGATGATTGCAACGTGATAATCTGCTCTTCAACAGAATAAAATTCTGACTGAAAATAAATCATGGAAGCGTCCTATTCTGCAGCACCATAACTAATTTATGAAAACATGTTTTTCATGTAAACGAAAGCATTCAGGAGTTGAAAATTAATTAAACGCGACGAGACTCTATGTGAAAATGAAAAGTGATGATTCTATGTAGAAGAAATCAGTATTTGGTTCTATTTGCATGATAATAACGGTTAACTCTATTAACTTTCTGCTATCTGTGACACAACCTTAAACCAATTTACAAGTCAAATGTTAATACATGAATCATAACTTATAAAAAAGTGATTTCAAATGTTTGCCAAAATGAATAACCACAAATCAACCACAAAAGTACAAAGAACATAAAGTTTGTTTTATAAGTTACACGAGTTACAACAACAAAATTTAAGATATTATTTTAAAATTATGCGGAGAAATTTAATAGTTCCTCAAAGAAGTGCTTTTGTCATATATGTTTCATAGAACTATTTACTATTAGTATCGATGAAAAAATCCATCTTCATAAATAGTGCAATGTTATCTCTAAATTACTCCGTATATTGTCAATATTAGTATATTAGCACATTTACACAAAATTTGTTACACATGGTGCCCAGATTTCATGTCGGTTTGACCAAAATTGTCTTCCAAAAGAACTGTTCCTGAATTTTATAAAAGGAAGGGTCTTTTCAGCCAACTACTGATTAATGATAGATTAAGAACTAATTTTCAAACTGTCGTGCAAAATATACAAACAGTTTAAATAGCATTGATTCGTTCGCATTCGGTACATCCTAACCATTCGACCATTACCATTTTACTCTAAAATTTTGCAGTTTTTGACTCTAAAATGTCGGAAACAAATTAAATTGGATTAAAAATATTAGTTTACCCTACTAAACGTGATCCCTTATTCTTACATTTGAAAGAACATTTTTAGAGCGAAATTATGTCTAGAATGAACACACGAATCTCAAACTTTCTCCTTCTGCACTCTCTCTCTCATAACACAGTATTCTGAATAATTATTAAAAAGTTTTAAAAGTATATCTTCAAAGAGCCTCAAAAAGTGAGTAGAAATCACCTCTAGAAAATGGTGCTTCTTTGTCCTTCTTCGGTTTATTTTCGGGACACCCTATATAATTTCCACAATCTCCAAGCGTTTACGCCACTGGATTACAGAAAAATGTTCATTACAATTAAATCAAAATAACTGTAAATTTGCTAAGGACAAGTTACAGATTGTCGCTGAATGTTGCTTATTTTGCTAATAAAGTGCCTTTCCTGTTCATATTTAATTTGAGATTAGGTAATTTAACTATTACAATGAAACTGGGGAACTTTTCGTAACTTTTGGCTGGTGGATAAGAATTTATTCCTTAAGAAAAAATTGATCACTCTAACAAATATTATACGCAAAATTGCGTTATAACTTCTTATAATAAAAAGGTAAAGTAAAAAATGTTTTTTTTCCGCACAGCTCTATTTACTCTCCATCCGGTACTTTAAGAACGAATCTCTCTCAACGGCAAATAGCCGTGTCGCATGTAGCTACAATTAAAATTGCATTAGCTGGTATAATTTCAAATACTGAAATTAAGCTAAATTAGAAAATATTTTTCCACCTATCTAGCACTTATCTAGCATAATACCAACAAGAGTGATTTTGTCTGCACAGCAGCCTTACTTAGTCCCGTGTGATTTCTTCAATTAGCACATGTGAAGCGTTCAGAAGACAAATAAAATAAATGTTGTCGAACAGTTACGAAATCGAACGGGAATCCTCAAGCAGGTTGACACGAAATCATCGGGGGTCGAGAAAAACTTTTTTAAATTTGCGCGTTTCAACTGTGGTCGAAAAAAGTTCGATTTCTAGCACTCACAAGAAGCCAATGAGTTTTTCCGTGGTTGTGAAGTAGTAGATTCAATGATTGTAGTATTATTGAAAAATTTGATCTGTCAGCATGAATAACTTCATAAATGGTAAGCAAGCAATTATTATTGAGTTTTCGTTTCTTCAGAAGCGCATTAAAAGATATTATAGCAAAAAATACCGTATTAATATTATATCACAGAAGTGTATTAGATAGACTTTGCACGGGATTTCAAATATTATTTTTATTTGCGAAGGTTTTAACTTGGAATTAATGAACAAGCTAAATAACAGACGTAGCAAAAATAACAGATGCTCCCAAACGTTTAATTGATTTGTCCATTAAAAGTGGATAACTTTAGGCGAGAGTGCTGTACCTCCGGACGCATTTGCTTTGAGCCAAACCCACAAACGCTCTATTATGGGCTTGGGAAAAATTTTCCACATATAGTTTTACGTACGTTGCATTAATCAGACTAAGTCCTCCTCGTTGCGATACAGTATAGATGTGTTATTGAAAGTTTATGTCTTGATCAATTACGTGACTTTTTCTTGCACTTGATTGTACAAAGTGGATGCATTTGGATCGGACCGTTTTGATCGGGTCTATTAATGATTTGATGATTCAAGACTCATGCAAATCACTCATCTTGAGTTAATTTGGTGGAGTTGTTGGAAAATCTCATCGAAAAGCGTTTACCTAACTAAAGATTTCCAACCCAGTTTTTTGCGGAAGACTCTTCTGAATGTGTGAGCAATCGAAAGCAGCTGAAATTGAAGCCGAAACTGTAGAACTGTTTGAAATATTTGACCAGCCTTCACTCCGTTTTCCACATATGTCGTCAAGACATCAAAATATTGTCAGTCCAGAAATGATAAAGCCCTATTCAAGCGTTGCATCGAAGAAAAACTAAAATAGGAAGAAAGGGGTAAAATCAATCATCAATCAATTGATCAAGGATAAATCCTGAAATAAATGAGTTGGAAAAACACTCGCTGAAATAGATCAGAAAGTTGAAAACGAGAGTTGAAAAAGTGAACAGGAAAGTTTTTGAGGAAAGTTCTAAAGGCATCGATGAAAAAGTACCAGTCCAATCCGTAAGGAAAACAATTATTTATAATAATTGAATAAAGATGAAAATATAAAAAGCGAGCAGAAAAGAGATATCGAAAATGCCACAATATAATAAGGACCCCTTCCATTGATGAAACTGAAGGTAAAAAATTCCATGCGTCTTTCGCAAAGTGAAGCACAAGATAATATTAAAGAATACAGGTTTTGAGGTGTTTTATCCATACAAATAATGACCCGCAGATCACCTGAATTAGGCAAATCGAACGTCTTAACAAACTTGCCATAGCCAATAGTACTGATGGTTCGAAAAGATGAATGGCACGATTTCCATTTTCTTTAAATTTTATATCGTTAAATATGGAGTCATAGTAATACATAAAGTAATGCATATAACGATTGTCGTGTTTTGTATTTACATCTTTAACCCACATAAAATTAGTCGTCTCGAGATATAATTAAGGCGGTCCCCATGTGCAACTCGGTGTTGTATGATTTGATTCTCAAAACATTATTGGCTTGCTCAATGAAAAAAATTTGCCTGATTTTTTCAGATTTGGTCTGCACAAGCCAGGCACAACAAATGTAATGGATTGAATCAAATCAATTTTATAAAAATATGGCAAAAAAAATTAAAACCTAAATAAGTGCGCGTGAACGTAACTTAAAGCTCCCATATTATCCGGGAAAAACGGACAAGTTACATTTTTTTGTGTTCGTAATAAACATATATCATTAACCTTCACGGAACGGAAACTTCCGCTAATAGCATTGATTTAGTAATTAGTTTCTATTGCCTTTTGACATCACTTAAACGGTAATCGGTCTTACATTTTTAATAAAACTGCTTTGACGGGAAGGACGAACAAATCAGCACTTTGTTTAAATAGTAAAAGAACATAATTTTAAATAATTATTACATGGGAGCATACATTTTTAAATATCTAACTACACAAGATAGACTGTAATATATTTTCAAAAGGCTCAAAACTTGCGTTATTTCTCTGAAGGACTTGGGAAGAATAAATCGAGATTATCGACTAACAATCTTAAGGAATTAATATGATTATTTCTATTCCGAATTCAACAATATTATGATATAAAAGTGAAATTATATGTTAAACAATAGCAACTCTTAGTACTTCCGTTCATTGAAACACCCATTGAGTTACGAATGTAATGAAAATAACTTTTTTTCAGACTAATCAAAGATGGGATCTTCGAGTGGCGGTAAAAAGAAATTTTTGAATTTAAGAAATCGACAGCGAGCGAATATGAGTTTTGTCATGTTTGTTATGTTCTTCGCCGTTTTTGGCATGATAGTATTCACCGAAATATTTTTTATAGACGAAAAAAATAAAGCATCAGGTAGGACCATATTTCGCAACTCTTTTCTGTAGAACGAAAGAAAGTGAGTTTCAAGTCATTATATTAATAATACATCATCGTATTGTTATTATTATCTTAATTTTAATATTATCAATTTCAGGAGTATTAGTCCGACATGGTTCTTTGGGATTTCACAACAAAGATGATAGAACTGAATACGATACCGATTTTCAGGCAAGTATTAAATAAAAAAATATTTATTTTCTCGTTTTAATTTTTGTAGTGTCGCATTCCTGCAGCTTTAAGATTTTAACGTTGGAATGTGGAATGGATGAAAATTGTTAAACATTTACTAAACTTTCTGAATGGGTAATAACGTGAACTCATTTCCTAGTCTGCTGACAAAAACGAATGACCCAATTTTATGATGATCGAAAGCTGCTTTTGAATTGAGCGAAACTTAAAATCGCAAGTAACGCGTTTCATCGGAAAAACATAATTCGTATTATTTGGTTAGTTTTCATATTAGTTGGTTCCATAAATATTCCTAGAAATTTATAAACATTTTATAAACAGAGAATCCTTGGTTTTCGTATATAAGAATTGTACGAACAATATTGTACGGAGTATGTACTGAAAATTGTCGGGCAATTGTTGTTGTGCTGTTTATATAAAATACTATTCGGCTAATTAATTTTTGATTAATTACAATTGAAACATTGCTGTTATAAAACAACTTTTCCGTTTTATAAAAATGTGTATTGCACATTTTTTCACTTGATGTTCTATATCACCTTGGATTCCTTGAAAAGCAATGCTGTATAGAATAAAGTCCTCATTACAAACTCTTGCAGACTAACATTGTTTAAATCACGAGAACTTACTTACAATACGTTCTACTTCGTTCGTAACAAACTCGTAACATTTTTCACGTTTTTTAGCGTCTCCACTGGAGGTTGGTGATCAACATTACCGAATAGATTTTGATCCGGCTGTGCGAAAAAAAAATAGTAACATAGAAAACTAAAACAGAATGATAATAATAAAATTTACGTTGATTTTATAAGCAAAAATTCACCCAAGAACATTGATTACAGTCCATCCCAAGGTTTTCTCTGAATCATTTTCCGCTTCTAATATTTGAAATCAGTTGGCCAATAGGAAGTTTACAACTTTATCGGCTACTCATGCAGCTTTCCGTATGTAATTGAAAAATTAAAAGTTAAAGTATTAAGTTTTAATTAGTTAAATACATAGAAAATATTATTCGAAAACTGTGTATCTACAGAAAAATAGTTTACGGTATTTGATTACGTATAGTTAAATACCTGAGGAGAGTTCCTATAGCAATGAAAAAGTTCACTTATTCTTTGAATGCGGCAGAAAGTTACAAAACCGATAACAAAAAATCGTCATTGACTAACAAATCAGAGAGTAGAAAATATCTCGGAAAATATTTGAACCATTCAGGACTGAAAAACATCACTGTTCTATTAACGTCCTGTTAGTACGGATGATTACTTAGTAAAAAAAACCAATAAAAGTCAATGTTACTAATTTATTAAGTTTGGTAGCAAACCATGATTAACATCATGATTTACTATCTATTAGTAATGCCAGAAAAATTGCGTTAAATGGAAGGCTCCACAGCCGGTATCTGGTCCCATTTTTAAGCCCAAGTAAAGCAGGACGGGCATGAATCCTACGTGGAAGATCCTTCTAGCTACGTCAAGCACTGCTTGCAATCGTTCCTTAGCTTCTTCCGATAGGTGCATGATATCGCCAAACTGGGATCTGAACTTTTGATCAATAATTCTGCTAGTGGAAGATTTTTATGACTGATAATATGCCAACCTCCCTGACAATCTCATTAGGTCGAATGTACGACTGGTTCTATTGTTATCAAAAATTGAGAATTTAGTGCCATCTGGTTAAGCACTTTGACATCTAAAATTCAAGCATTAAATGCTTATTAACGGCTGTTATTAAAGTGTTTCTTGGTCGTATTTCCTTAAAATAAAACCGAAGAAGTTTTTTTAAATAAATCGAAGTTTAAGAAGCTTTGAAATTTTTTATTGAAGTTCAATAATTATAGGTCCCCAAGAACTGATTGAAAATGTACAATCTGAGCATGGTCAAGAGCCAGAATATACTAAACTATTCCTTGCATTAGATACCTATTGCTTTAAAGAACAAATTAAGACATGCCAACTGTAGCAGCCCAGAAAATAGTTCAAGTAATATAATTGAACAATAAACACGAGAGCTGCAAGTGAATAGAGTTTTGACAAAAATTTGCCAAAGTGATTACAAAAGTGAAAAATTATTAGATGAGAGACATGAAAACTATGGCGACGACAGCTATGAGGAAGAAGAAAGTTTTGGACAACCAAATAAAAATAGAAATGCAGGAAAAACCGACTAAGTAAAAGTGACGGCTGGGAATATAATAGCAACAAGCAGAAAAGAGAAAACATGTATTTGCAAAGAAAAGGCAATAGATTTTCGGAAGGAAATGCAATTGAATACGAAAAAATGCAGACGCGTAAAAATTTAAAAGAGAAAAATTATGCATTTGAATCAAGGAGAAAAATAATTCTGGATCTTCAATTGGAAGGAAAAACTGCTGTGTATGGAAAGACAACTAGAACACAAACGAAAAGAGTGTGAAACCGAAAACATAACTGTATTCAGCGGTTTTTTTAATGCAAAAAAGAAAAAATGTTAGAATTTGTAAAATAAAAATCAAAAAACAAATAAAATGTTCTGCAACACGCTGGGAATGTCCTCAAGGATTATTACTCTTTGGATTCAGATTCAAACCGATGCTAATGTAAGGAAGCAAAGTCACGAAAAGCTAAAGCGAAAAGATAAAGAACGTAAAGAATTTAGTGTTCAAATAAAACGTCGATTTGAGACTTTATTGAATGAAAAATTTCTGGTAGAATTGTAAATGTAATTAATCAGCAGATTGATGACCAGTGAAGCAGCAGAGAGCTTCTGAACTCAATGTCAATAATTGTTTATTATGTCCAGTCATTTAAATAAACAATTGTATTAAACTCAGAGAATTTAGTGGCCTTCCATCAGTGTGCGCTTCACCACAGCAGATTGTTTCGTTCATCTTAATCTGCGACTTCCGCGAGGAAGTGGCACAGAAAAATAGAACTCGGAGCCTCAAGGGTCCAGTTGCTTCTAAAATAAATATCCCAATAATGACAAATAAAAGCCACTAGTAAAGTTTTGAGGAAGGATCAATTGTGATTTTTCAATAGGCCCTCGAGTTAAAGTTAAATAATGTTATTTTCAGGGGGATGATTACATATCCATCCGGGTTGGTCAGGCAATGATGGATAACGCCGATATAGGACCTTTTTTACTAGGAAGACCCCTGGTTCACTTATCAAATATGGATACGTCCCAATCAAAAGTAATTAGCTATTTAGTTGTTGTTTTGTTATATGTTTCTGAAATAATTATTTCAATTTTTACTTTGTATATTTCTGAGTTATTTTGAATTTTTAGTTTTTTGCTGAAGGTCAGCTTCCTTCATATCCTGAGAACCTCACCATATCAGATTCTTGGCAAAATGTCAACGGCAGTAGGTAAGAATTGGTAGATTTCCTACTTTGCCCAAATCACTTAAAAAATACATACCAATATGGTGTCTAGTTATCCTTGTCTTAATTTATGAATAATTGTGAAAAAGTTTACCCTTTGCTAAAAAATCTACAGTGAAACCATAAATGTAAAAATAAATGTGTGGTGAGAACAGAATGTATAATATTTAATATATATAAATAGCTAAATACATTTTTGCTTTCTTTCATTACAGATATAAATTTTTCGTCTTTTCTGCCTACTATGACCAAAGACGGAACCAACGAAGCATCAGAATAATTGCGACAACAAGAACAAGAGGACCTGAGCGAGTTTGGTGTAGGTTATGGTATAGATCAAGCGAAGGAAATTCGACATTAAATACCTCTAAAACTGTTCCCGCAAAAATCAAGGTAAATTATTGGTTGGTCAAAGATTTGAAGCTGAAATCCATACTGATTATTGAAAATGTATTATAAAGGAGCCTTCTGTGATATTTGCAGTAGCAGTAAAATTCGATCGTTCGACTGTTCTAATTGTGCATGTGTTTGGTGCGTTCAGATCTAACGAGTCGAGCCCGAGACCAGTCAGAGCCGCGGCAAAAATGTTTCACCGTGCAAAACACCGAGAGACGATCGATTTTCTGTCACTGCTTTGTGCCTCTTCTGAAATTTAATGTTTCTCTAAATGCGTTGGTTCGTCTTACAGTGTTGGGCAAAAATTGATTTTTATTAAAAAAATAAAAAATCACTGATTTATTTAAATTAGTCAAAAAAAACATTATTTTTTTTATTTTTATTAAATCAATTGATAAATCCGCTAAATTAGCTGTTTTAAAGTCATTGCAATTGTTGCCGAGAAAAATTAAGCTAAGTTGAACCGATTCAATACTTGTCCGAACGCATTTTCGACGGAAAATTCTTGTCGCAACGGCCCGCGACTCGTTTTCGCACGTTGCCCGGCGTAATCTATAAATGCCGTCGCCTTTCTTCGGTCTTATTCATTTCGTCACAAAATTTCAAGAGAGGCTAATGTTGGAAAGTGTGTAGATTTTTTGTGTTTGTGTAATAATAATAAGTCAGTTTGAAAAGAACGCAATGGCTTGAAGAAAAGAAGACAGTATTTGGCAGTTTCACATCAAAACCACCTCTTCTAATAAGCCAGGATGCAGAGCAACTTGCAAACAGTGTAAGAAAGAGATTCAAATCATAGCACAAAGACTGAAGGCACACCATGACGTTTGTAAGAGGCAACAAAACAAACAAGGCAGAACAACAAATGCAAACATCGATCTTCCGCCCAACTTTTTTGAGACTGGGAGTGCTTCTTCCTCCTTACATTTCCCTCGATAAGCTCCAACTCACCTCCAGAATCTCCATCATCTTACACTCAAACAACTACCGAGTCGGCTTCCAAGAGAAAGAAACGTGAAAGCCAACCCTCAATATCCAATTTTGTTAGGCGAGCTTGAGCAGGGGGAAAACATTGACAAACAAATAGCTAAGGCCATATTTGCCACAAACTCAAGTTCTAGATGTGTCGAGAACTCGGAAGTCAAGAAAGCCATTCATCTATTGAGACCTTGATACAGTCCTCCTTCTCGAAGAACGGTCGCATCGAGCCTTTTGGATGAGATTTATACTGAAGAAAAAGAGGCATGTTTTTCATCTCTTTCGGGGAAAGTGTTAACATGTCGATTGACGGATGGTCAAACATTCACAACGAGCCGGTTATATTCGCAACATTAACAACGGACGAGCGCTTCTCTATAAAACCATTGATACTCCTGGAAAGCCTCATACTTCGACATACCTTACTGATCTGGTGTGCGATTTAATTTCCTCGTGCCAAACAAAATTTCAGTGCCAAGTGCGATCTTTTGTAACGGACAATGCCGCTAATATCACCGCAATGAGGAAAACGTTAGAAGAGCGGACGAAGTTATAACTTATGGTTGCTCTTCGCATTTACTAAATCTGCTTTGTAAGGACTTTGCGAGGATAACTCAAAAGATATCAATTCTGCTATCTTCAAAAAAGTCGCAAACATAGGATTGAAGCATGCAGCGCAAGAGTACCTGAACCTTCTGAACTATTGCTGTTGCTCTAGATATACTCCAGAATAAAAATGCCACAATATCTGATGCCGTAGCAGTGGAAACTTTTGCAAGATAAGTTTGAAGAATCTCAAAATTTATCTTTAGAGAAACTACAGTTTCTACATCGCTATAAGCAAGCTCTTACACCTTATCACTCCTGGAGAGAAGAATCTGGCTTTGGAGACTCTCAGTGAGCTTCATGGAAACTCGGGATTGTTGCCACTAGTTATTAAATTCAACGCTCGCTGCAGTCCTTTCAAATAAATTATGTTTTCTGATGAG